AGCCCTGGGCGTCGGGGGCCTCCCGGAACAGCTGAGGGACCTCCGCATGCCCACGAGGCCTTTGCCCCTGGTTCTGGCCTCCCAGGGTCAGCAGCTGGAGTGTCCTTGGGTCCCAACCCTCCGTGTCCCTCTCAGGAGCTTGGTCGTGACCACGGTCTCCAGCCCCAGGGTCTCAGAAGCGTTTCTGGGACAGAGACCAGCCAGCGGCTGCTGCTCGACCAGTCTTTGTGGAGCGGAATGGGGTGACCTCACAGACCCCCCTAGGGTTCCACTGGCCACTCTGGGGGTGAGGTCATGGGTGGGGGAGGGTGTCACAATCTGAGGGGCAGGTTGGCCCGCTGACCTGCCAGGGAGCGAGGTCACAGCCACCCCGCCCAGGTAAACGGCATGGCCCAGCCTTTACCATCCTGGCCACTCAGTCATTGGCCCTGCTGGGTGCCGGGACCTGCACCTGCTGGGTGCCCCTGCGAGCCCATTTTTCAGATGAGCAAACCAAGGCTCAGGAGGAGAACGTGGCGTGTCCAAGGCCCTAGAGCCAGGAGTAGAGCCCAGGTTTATTTAATCCCAAAGAGGGTATTTATTGAGCACCTGCTGTGTGCAGGACCAGTGTTTAAAATATTATTATTATTATTATTTTAAATATACTTTATTGATTTTTTACAGAGAGGAATGGAGAGGGATAGAGAGTTAGAAACATCAATGAGAGAGAAACATGGATTGGCTGCCTCCTGCACACTCCCCACTGGGGATGTGCCCGCAACCAAGGTACATGCCCTTGACCGGAATCGAACCAGGGACCCTTCAGTCCGCAGGCCGACGCTCTATCCGCTGAGCCAAACCAGTTAGGGCTAAAATATTATTTTTATTGATTTCAGAGAGGCAGGTAGAAGGAGTGAGAAACAACAATGATGAGAGAGAATCATGGATCAGCTGCCTCCCTAACACTCCCCTACTGGGAATCGAGCCCACAACCTGGGCATGTGCCCTTGACCAGAATCGAACCTGGGACCCTTCAGTCTGCAGGCCAACGCTCTATCCACTGAGCCAAACCGGTTAGGGCCAGACCAGTGCTTTAGATAGCAACCGCCATGATGGCAGGACTGGGAAGGGCACGGCTCACCGCAGATCCCAGGCCTCTAGCACTGGGCACACGCTGGGCACCGTGCAGGGAGCTGGACGCATGTTCTCTCGCTCGAATCTTCCTGCGTTTTAGCTCCAGCTTCCAGCTGAGCAAACGGGCACACGGAGCAGGCGCAGCCAGAGCCTGGCACACAGCCAGCGCTTATCACATGGGGGTCACCACAGGAAGCAGCTGCGTCTCAAAACAGTCCCCGTGGGCGTCCAAAAAGGAACCCCATCTCGTTTCAGAGGGGGAAACCGAGGCAACCCTGTGCGAACCGGCAGAGCCCAGGTTTAAAGTCAAGTCTGAGTTCAGATGATCATTTAACTTTCTTTTTTTTTTAAAAAATATATTTTATTGATTTTTTACAGAGAGGAAGGGAGAGAGACAGAGAGTCAGAAACATCGATGGGAGAGAAACATCGATCAGCTGCCTCCTGCACACCTCCCACTGGGGACTCGCCCGCAACCCAGGCACATGCCCTTGACCGGTATCGAACCCGGGACCCCTCAGTCCGCAGGCCGACGCTCTATCCACTGAGCCAAACCGGTTTGGGCTCATTTAACTTTCTTAATGCGTTGTTCTCACAGGGAAGGTGGTCCCATTCTACAGAGGGGGATGTTGAGGCCAGAGGGAGGCCCGCTTTTCCTGAGGTCCCGGTCACACAGCCTGCCCTGTGAGCAGGTTGGGGACGGGTGATGGGGACTGGATCTCGGGCCGCACAGAGGTCCTGACCCCCTCCCCGTGCCCCCAGCTTCACATGGAGCGACGCACGCCTGCACCGCGGCCTGGTGACCCTGCTGACGGGCGAGATCGCCGACGCCTTCAGCCGCGAGTTCCGGACACTGT